TGGGGGGGTGCCCGCAGCTGTGCCTCATTGTTCATGCATGGGGCTACAGCAGCTCTGTGTGGGGCTATGGCAGGCGCAGGGGGAGGCACTGCCCTGTGCAGCCGCTGCCCTGCGCTGGGATGGGCTCATGGATGCTCGTGCTCCTCCACAGCCCCTCGTGCCACAGGCTGGGGAGAAAAAAGGCAGACAGTAACCACTGCTGCTTCTGCTTTTGTGCCTGCAGTCGACCACAGCAGAGTGGAGTTGTCCCTGATCACATCAGACGCAGATTCCCATTACATCAATGCCAACTTCATCAAGGTATCGCAGCTTTCCTGGTGTTCTGCCATGCAGAGGCATTCGTAGCAGCTGCTGTGTGTCCTGTTCGAGTTGGACCAGGAGAAGCTGGTGGTGGCCATAGTGAGCACAGCGGCTGTGCAGCAGTTTTGGGCTGTGCTCGAGGACAACCGATGTACAGAAGCTGTGCACCACCGGCATCGCTTCCCAAACAGCCCGTGAGGCACAGGGGCACCAGGCCACAGGCGAGGACACGTGCTCGTGCTGGGGCGGGCAGTGGAACAGTTTGTGGCTTGCAGCCCCGACTTCCTCGTTGGTGTCACTGCCTTTGGTGGGTGACAATGGTGCAAGGTTGCCTGTGGCCAGAATGGCCCCAGTCGCCTGAGAGCAGTGCAGGGGCAGGAAGCTTTGCAGCACAGCACAGCTCAGACCGCTGCAGTGGTGAGCAGCAGGGCAGGGGGGGACGGGGCTGTGTCAGGAGCCCATGTGTGCTGGGGCTCTGCTGTGCTCACCACCCTTGGCTGCTGGGTGGATGGGTGGGTGGATGGATTCAGAAAAGGGGGTGACTTTTATTTCTGCCAGTGAACTATGCAAATCTGTCTCCATGTCTGATTTGAATGCTGTCTTAGGGCGTCTACGGGCCAAGAGCATACATTGCAACCCAGGGTCCTCTTCCCACTACTGTCGTTGACTTTTGGAGGATGGTTTGGGAGTACAAAGTCCTGGTAAGGTGCAGATTTAGGTACCTTTATTTTTTTTTTAAAGCACAGTTGTCCATACAGCCAGAAGCCTTTTCTGAGCAGATGTGGGAGCGCAAGGGTTTTGTCTCTGATGATGTGTGTGCCCCGCGTCCTCCCCGTGAGCCCTCCCCACGCTCGTGGGGTCTGCCCAGGGCTGTCTCTGTGTTCGTGCTCCCAGTGGGGAGGTCCCCGTGCTCAGATTGGGAATGGCAGCCCGGGATCCGGGGCAGGCAGCCCACAGCCCTTCCTCATCGCTGACAAATGCCCCCAGGTGATCAGCTTGGCTTTGCTGCCTGGATAGGAAACACGTGCAGGACTTTCTAACAAACCTTCTTTCTGCAGATTGTGGTCATGGCTTGTATGGAGTTTGAAATGGGAAAGGTGAGTAACAGAGACAGCTTCTGCTGTGACAGCACCGGAGCCTGTCTGGGTGCAGAGATGCAGATTTTCGCTAAATCTCAATAGCGACAGCAAGTTTCTGTGTGACACGAGCTGCTCCCTGCTCTCCAGCTGCAAATCTTTAAACCATTCCCAGTAGCGTGGCTGGCAAACCAGCAATGGGGGCTCTGGGGATGGGGCTGCAGCTGGGCCTCCTCCCAGTATGGTTTTGTCCATCGGAGCGGGGCAGGCGATGGTGCAGGGGTGGCAGTGGATAACCGAGGTGTCCTTCTCGAGCAGAAGAAGTGTGAGCGGTACTGGGCGGAGGCGGGCGGCCCCCCCCTGCAGTGTGGCCCTTTCTGCGTTGCCTGTGTGAGTACGGACGCTGGGGACGCTGGGGATGCTGGGGACGCCATCGTCCACGGAAAATGTGACCCTGGGTCCTTGTTCTGCAGGAAACAGAGGAGCAGAGGAACGAGTACGTGATCAGGACGTTGAAGGTGACCCTGAATGAAGTAAGTGGGGAAGGTCAAGGCAGGAGATGCATCCTGGCTAGCTTTATTATATAAATAATGTATGACAGGACGGTGCACTTTGTGCAGAAAATTTTACACTGCTCAGCCTATTTTAGGTTTGACAGTATGAAGAAAGTAAAAAATTAATTAGCTCAAGCCTCACTTTCTGAAGCTGTTTGTCAGAGCTGGGGTAAGTGAGGCCCATGGGTAACATCAAGAGTGTCATAAAACAGCAACACTGCTTCTATAGCAAGAACAGCTGCAAATGTAACCCAACCATCACCTACCTTCACCTGCTGCTGCACCACGCTAGATCCCCTCACCATGTCGACGTCCCCATCTGCGCTGCGGCAGCGTCCCCTCGGTGTCCTGGCCCAGCCCATGCCCTGCCAGCGCTCTCCTCCTCTTGCAGATAACCCACACCGTCCACCAGTTCCACTACAAAAACTGGCCAGACCACGACGTCCCCTCCTCCATTGACCCCATCCTGGAGCTCATCAGAGAGATTCGCTGCTACCAGCCCGACGACAGCATCCCCATCTGCGTCCACTGCAGGTGGGTGCCCGGCCACCAGCAGGGAAGGGCCCTTGGCCCCACATTCGCTTCCTGGTGCAAAGCTGCAGCCCAGCTCCTCTCGTACAAGTCCTGAGGCCACAGTGTCCTCTGAGCATTGCCGGCACGGCCGGGTGGTGGGAGAGGGGACGGGCAGCAGCAAGGCAGCAATGGCACGCGGGGTTAAGAGACCACCAATGCCGGGCACGTCCATCTGTGGGCTGGCCACCACGGGAGGGCTGAGTGCTGCTCACAGGGCAGGGGGTGCAGGGGGGCCGTGGGGCTGATGCAGCCACAGCAGGAGCAGCGGGCCCGTCATGGAGGTCTGCACCCTCCATGGTGAGGGATGGGAGGGTCACAGGGGGCTGTGGCTCTTTTTCAAATATCCTTGTCAGAAAACACAGCGCAGCCATCCTCTGCTCACAGCCCCGCTGTCACTGTCATTGCAGCGCGGGCTGCGGGAGGACAGGAGTCATCTGCGCCATCGACTACACCCAGACACTGCTGAGGGACGGGGTGAGTGCGGTCCGGACAGCGTCCTCGGATGGTGCCTGCGGTAGCACTGCCTCTCTCGGCCCATGCTCTGCACCAGCCATGCCCATCGCTCCCCTGCCCACCCCAATGCTCTATGGTGGGGCAGGACCCTCCCTCCCAGTCTCCTCAGGCAGAGCCTTCAGACCACGCTCACTGCCTGCGTTGGTCTCTCCATGCTTAAGCACTAGAAATGCAGGGTTTCCAGACTAACACCGTGCTTTGCTCTGACTCCTCAGCACTAAAATATGAGAGGTGATCCCCGGCCTTGCCTGGGGCTGCGCTCTGCTGGGAACTGGCATCCTGTGCTATGAACGGCTCTTACCAGGGTATTTTCTGAGGAGTGCAAGACAGGAGGGAGGAGGCAAAAAATAAAATAAAAAAGAAAAGATAGCACTTTAGGCAGGTCCTTTGTTGAAAGTTGTTGCAATAACCAGCCTGAATTTTGGGCACTGCTCTAAACTGCATCATGACATGGAAGCTGCTTGGAATTCTGGAACACAGGAGGTTCCACTTCAATTTGAGAAAAAACTTCTTCTCAGTGAGGGTGACAGAGCACTGGCCCAGGCTGCCCAGAGAGGTTGTGGAGTCTCCTTCTCTGCAGACATTCAAAACCCGCCTGGACGCCTTCCTGTGTAACCTCATCTGGGTGTTCCTGCTCCGGCAGGGGGATTGGACTGGATGAGCTTTGGAGGTCCCTTCCAATCCCTAACGTTCTGTTCTGTGTTCTGTAATTAGACCTGTCTGCAGCTTTTAATCTTTTCTCTTTCTTGCCAGATTGTTCCAGTGAATTTCAGTATTTTCAGTCTGATCCAGGAAATGCGCACACAAAGGCCTTCCATAGTGCAGACCAAGGTACGTTGGGGACACTTCCCAGCAGAAATAGTCTTCATTCAGTATCTCAGCTTTTCAGTAAGGAAACGCAGAGTGGCTGTGCTGCTGGCACTGGGTGTGCAGATGCTCCGTGAGGTCCCTTTCCTGAACTGAAGCGTGATTTTACAGAAATTGATTTGGTAGTGACCATTTCCCCGTAGACAGCTGGAATAGTTCAGTGCTCGCAGCCTGATTTATCAAATGCTTACGCTGAGAAACAAGGGACTGTCCAGGAAATAAAGTGGGAACTCTTCTGAGCTGTGGCAGACTGAAGAGGAAGCTCAATGCAGAACAGCACTGTTTGTGCACCTGAAAAAACCCCCAGATGCTCAGCCCAAACCCTTTGAAAGCTGTGGCTTCTGCCTCTTCTGAGAATGTACCAATGGACCGGAAAGTGGCAGCTTCGCTGCGGGGCTGGTGCTTGCCTTGGGTGATGGTGATGGTGACCACTCACACGTCCGGGAGGTGCTGCTCTCACGCTGGGTTTGTTTCTGTGTATGCAGGAGCAGTATGAGCTGGTTTATGATGCTGTGATCGAGCTCTTCCAAAGGCAGATCAAAGCACTTGATGCCCAGGACGATTCTGCTGCTTCACAGGTAAAAGCCCCCAGGATGAACACGTGGCTCTCGTGGTCCTGGCCGTGCCAACACTCACCCGGGTTCCCCGATTTCTGCTGCCCCTGGTGCCCCCACTGTGTCCCTGCTCAAGTTGTCCCGGGGAATCCAGCTGTTTTCCTGAGCGTGCAATGCTCATCGTAGGATCTGGCTCCAGGCGAGAGCTAAATCTTCTTTGGTCTCAAAACCGTTTTCTATGTATTGTTTATAATTATTTATTATTTCTATACATTATTTATAATTGTTTAATGCAACAAGTGAATAGAGAAGCACCAACTTTCCACAGCAGTGGCTGATTTCTATGTGGACATGCCAGTGAAACCGGGTTTCATGGAGCATTTACAAGCAGCAGCGTGACTTTCAGTGCAGGTTGGGAAGCCTGGGCTCAGCCGGGGTACGGCTGAGTGTGGCTCTGCACTGTGCTGGGATTGCAGTGAGGCATCGGCATCACAGCCTGTCCGTGGGAGAGAGTGGGCTGAAATATCCTGTGAGAAAACACGTCAGAGTCTTTCAAATCTGATACACTTCCAAGGAAAAATTATGTGGTCTTGGTATGATGTGGTGTATAAACAGGAACATCCAAAACACCCATGGTTAAGTGTGTCTTTGCTCTCGCTGTTCTGTGACTGCTGGCATGACCCTCACCTTGCCTGTGCCGCTGTTTGCAGCCCGGCTGAGGTAAATGGCCCTTAAGGCTGCAGAGTCACAGTCGGCTGATTTCATCAGGAGCTTTTGTCTAAAAATCGGGGATAGGACCCTGCGATGGGACTCGTGCCTCAGGTTTGCCATAGGATTTTCAGGATGTCCCAAGCCAGAGCTGGATGAGCCCCTGTCTGTGGGCTGTGGGCAATCTGTAGGCGAGGACTGGGCTGACAAAATGCAGAAAACGGTTCAAGTCCAGATGTGGTTTTGTGTCTCCTGGCCAAACCTCTTGCCCACCAAAACCTTGCTGTCCTCCGAGCCCCCTGCAGCACACAGGGGATGGTGACGGGCTGAGGTGTCACAAATCCACGCGGTCCCGACGGCAGCGGTGTCTGTGCGGGCTGTATTGGCGGTGTCTGAGCAGTGGGATGGTTACACGGCTCCCTCAGCGCCCATTTCAGAACGGTGATGGCAGGAATTGCTGTTCAGGAGGTTCTGTCCTCAGTTCTCAGCTCCAAGTTGGTGTTTTCAAGTTGGTGTTTGCCATTTCCAAACCACATTAATAATTAAAAGCAGTTGACACAAATTCCAGCTCCTGAAATTGCATGTTTATGTTCTCTGCCTTCTTCCTCCTTGCTCCTGTTTCCTAACCTCTTATTTCACTTTCAGGTACAAACAAGGCATCCCATAGCCAAGCCTCTTCTGACTCCGGTGGAAGATATTTATTCTCTGAGTTTACTAACCTGGTAACGTGTGCTTTGTGACAGCTCTGTTTGAATGCCACGTTTCAGCTGTCAGCAGATCTGCAGCTCCCTTGAGCCCCATGGACGCTCACGTTGTTCCTCACACAGTTCCTGCTCTTTCACTGCTGTGTCTCTGACCCTGCACATCTGCCCCCTCTGCCCTCAGCTCCGTTTCCCGTTGTGTTCACACGGTGTCTCACGTACGGGCTGGACACGCACCACAGGGCGCTGTGACAGCGACTCGTGCGCTGGACACAGCCCGTGCTGGGCCCCCTCTCCTGGGCTGGGCACCCTGCAGGCAGCCCCACACTGCTCCCATCCCACCTGTGCATGCCACCCCAGTGTCCCTCACCATGGAGCCGCAGCCATGGGGGGGTCCAGGGCGGTGGGGTCTTTCTGTGGACATGCTCTGGTTTGTGTGCCCCTTAGCCTCTTTAAATTAGGCTGGACTTGGTGATCTCAGAGGTCTTTTCCAGCCTCAATAATTCTGTGATTCTGTGTGCTCAAGGCTGAATGGGCTCTGTGCTCCGGGACCTGCTCTCGGGAGCGATGCTGTTTGCAGTCTAATGGGAATTTCTGGGTACTGGATGGCTCTGATTGATGTGGTGCTCTATTGCAGCTCAGAGCAAGAGGAAGGGGTTGAGCATCAGCGTCTTCTTCCAGCGGCACAGAGTGAAGCATCCCCAGCACCACAGCCT